GAAACTTTATAATATGAGAGCGAAAAAATAGAAATGTTTTATTTTAATGTTATTTTTTAAATATAACTTCAATATATTACCATTATTTTAATGAAATTTATAAATGTTGTGATGTTTTTAAAAAAATCGTCGAAAAATTCTCAGATCTCGGAATGAAAAATTTTCTATAGAAACTGATCTTAAAATCGCCAAAATGTTGACAAGTTGCCAAATTTAGAACTGTTTAATAAAAGAATTCACATCCTCAAAAGTGAAAAGTTATTTAAGATTTCTTTATTAGAAAAAATGCATTTCGAAATGCTTATGTTTCACTTCTTGCTTAGAAACTCGAGTATCCCATCATTTATATTAGAAGTAGAAACAAATTATAACCTTTTCAAAAGATAACCATAAGTGTCAGTGAATCGCCAAAAATATTCCTCCAAAATGCTAATTCACACTCAAAATGGCAGTCATAAAAACAGACAGAAATTTCAGATGATTAAAATTAAGGACCTTCTGCTGATTTTGGCCATAATTAAGGACTTTTAAAGACCAAAAATTGATTCCAAAAAATTTAAGGACTTTTAAGGACTCTTAAGGACCATATGAACCCTGTTTACTGCTTCATTAATCGCGTCCATGCATCCAAAATCCTTGAACAAGTCAATTAATACAACCAGTACATGGATGGATAAATTTTAAAATTTAAGAGAGGTACTTTTCCGTTTTGCCGGCCCAGGCAAAAAATTCGCCAATAATGGTACAACCAATGCCAAACGGAATATCCTCACTGGTAACCTTTTATGCCTCATTTTCAAAACAAGTTGCAGCCATTTCTTATCAGATTGATTGTTTTTTTCAATACTGGCATACAATTACTATAATTTTTAGCAGATAGTTCAATTTTATGCCCTTAGGCCATTCACGGTAATTAAGTCAATTAGGATGCAATCACACTGCTCACCTGAAAGCGAAAATATAAAAAAGGCAAAGTCAAGGGTTAAATTCATCAATTCTAATGAGACTGCCCTAGCGAAGTAAAGCACTGCGGTTTTACATAACTTCTGAGTAAGCTATTCGTACGAATTGAAATAATTCTTGCATTTAAACTTGTATTCCAAATTAATATTTAACTTGAATTCAATGTAGATAATTACTGTGAGGATTATATTTTTGTAGCGTAGTTTACGTGAGATGAGGTAACTTGGGGTCACGTGATATGAAGCCGCAAATCAGGATGTTGAATCATGAAAGCATAGTAAATTCTTGATTTAATGTCTTTTTATAAATTTGTCTTTATTTACAAGTTTTTTACAAAATTTTAAACAATATGTGTATACTGTATGTTGTCGCCAATACAGTCTGCTTGGTGAGATTTGCACCGGCGAAACGCAAAAGTACCTTAAGAGATTTATTTCTTCCATAAGGCTTGAGGTAAGAGAAAATTACATGAATACTTAAAAAATGTATATATTTCTAAAAATTTTTTTATTAATATTATTGTTTACATTTCTTATATATTTAATTGATATTATTGTGCTAAAGAGTTAGGGTGGGAAATATGCAAGTAAATAAGGGATTATGAGATAATGAATATAGCTCAGAAGAATAAAATTCTGAATCTGAAGTATTTTTCAAATACTAATAATATTAATACTCTTTCAGAAGAAAGTGATGCTAATGAAAAAATAAAATATTTCTCAAAAATGATGGAGTGACATTCATTTTAAGACAAATTTTGGAAAGAATAGGATCTAAATTATGCGGAATTCTCCTAGAAGGGGGGGATAGTTGCATATCTCCTGTTCTACTGGATCGATTGATGAAATTCAAATTGCGTTCTTTATGTCTCGAAAGCGCAACTTAGGACATATATTAGATTTATATATAGCTCTATTCTAACATAGGTATTTTAACACAAAATCGGACTTTTTCTGAAATAACATACAATTTTTTTCCATATTTCGATTCTACGACTCAAATTATGCCTAAATACGAAATTTTGTAAAATTTGGTAAAACAGAGAAATTCATAAATTTATGTTGGTGCTTTTTTTCAGTTTGCACCAAGAATTCAATTAATGAACATTTTAATATATGGCAACCTATTTTCCTTTCCTTTTTACATCATGCACAAAAGGGAAAAAAGTGACAATCGTTCCTTTTTTCAAATAATGTTCTTTAAATTGAGGCACGGTGGCGCAGTGGCTAGCGCATCGTGCAGCAGCACCACTGGTCCGGGGTTTGATTTCCGGGTTGGACAAGATTGACTCAGCCTTTCATCCCTTGATTTCCATTACTTGGGTCAATAAAATGAGTACCAAGTTCGCTTGGGGACTAAACACTGGGGGTCCTGCAACAAGCTGACCACTTGTTCAGGGCATATGCTTACGTTCCCCGGGGCCCGCGGTCAAGAAAGCAAATTTTGCGGCACTGCAGGCCTTGGTCCTTTAGGGCTATTTGCACCACTGAGTTTAGTTTAGTTTTGTTCTTTATATTATATTTTTAATTACATAATGGTTATTATTTTAAGTATTTTTTCCTTTCTTGAATTTCATTTTAATTGTTTAAGTTGCACGGTTTCTTTCAAATAACTGTTTTAAAAAAATTTCTATTTACCCATTCGAACTGCGTAGTTTAAATAAAAGGTGCATTGTCTATTTTTTTTTCCCCCCAAATAGTTATCTTTATAATTTATTTTTTTTTGTCATAGTTATTATTTTAGGTAATTTTTTAATTTTTAGAATTTTATTTTAATTGTTTGTGTAGCATTGTCTCTTCAGATAATTGTTTTAAAATTTTCTATTTATTCATTCGAACTGAGCATTTTAAGTATATTTATTAATATAAATTTTTCAGAATTTGATTTTATTCATTTGAATTGAGTTTCTTTCGGAAGAATACTTTGTGACCCAGACTATGATGCATTTGAAAACTGCATATATTAAAAGAGAAAATACTGTAAAGCACAGTTAACACACCTTTCAATGTTCCGTTCAGAGAAGATATATAAATAAGAGAGATATATATCCAATGTTTTAATTTAGGATGACTTGCATGCATTGCTTTAAAGAGTTTTATCACTGTGCCCATTGCTTTACACAAATTTTATCAGCCTATATTTAATTTCTTAAAATGTAATTCATATTTTAGTCAAACAGTTTATTTTTAAAATCACAAGAGTCAAATATCATAAATTTAAAAAAATTTTAATTAAAAAATACTAAATTTTATGCAAATTTTTTTTTCTTCTTAATGGCTTGCCCTTTTCTTCAGGCATTCTGCAAGTATATTAAAAAGCATCCAACTTTTCAAAACATCTTGGTCTTTCTGACATTCATTTTAAATACAGTTATCGCCTCCCATTTCATACAGGTCCACAAACGGGCAAGCGGTAAAGTTGCTGAACCGTGGTAATTCGCTTCGGGGTTCGAATCCCGGCGAATGAGCTGGTTCCATGGGCGTTTTTGTGATTTTTCTCATTGTAATGTATATGCCAGCTGGTTTCCCATAGATAATTCTTCACGAAGGCGTCCCTCCTCTTAGACAGATAGACCTGCTTTCCCGTAACGTAATAATCAATTTCATCGGTATTTGTTCAGAGCCTTCACTCTTTACAGGCTAAGCATTTTGAAGGAAAGAGTGGTTTAATCAAGAGGGGAAACATCTTTAGGTGACATCTACATACATCACTGGATAAATTCCTGAATCTTCAAATAATTCAACTAACAAATCATGGGATTCTCTAAAAATAGAAATTTTTAAGATAAAAGTGGTCAGCTTGATCCCCGGACTTCAATCCTATCGAGCAGGTTTGGGATGCTTTAGGGAGACGTCTAGCTGCTCTCAATCCGCCCCCTCAAACCCTTGTCATGCTTGCAACTGCTTTGCAAGAGCAATGGCACTCGCTTCCTATGGAACTGATAGACCGCATAATTGAAAGCATCACACATCGCAGTATGTGCTGTATTGCTTCTAGAGGCGATCATATTCCATATTGAAGATACTTTTCCTACGGCAAACTGACACCTTCGATTTGTTCATTTTATACATGTGCTAATTTCTATACTACCATAATTGCCTGGTAATTTTTTTTTTATGTTATTTTATACCTTACTATGTGTTGTATATTGTGGGTATGTTTCATTAAATTCTACATGTAACTTTTTCAGTAATCGTGAATTTTGTGATTTTTTATTAATTTATGATAACCAGTGTATATCCTAAGTTGCACTTTCGAGACATGAAAAACGCAGTTTGAATTTTGTCTATCGGTTGCTGCCTGGAAAGGGTTAAATGTTAATTTATGTTTGGCTGCATCCAGAAAGTTATTTATCTTACTGGTTTCTCAACAACTTTCAATATAATTACTATTTTAGCTTGCTTTTTTTGGGAGGGGATTCAAAATTGCTTCATTTATTTTTTTCTTGGCCAGCAATTAAAAGATCATTAAGCCATTTCAATCCAGACAATGACTTTTCACTTAACCTTTCATATAATAGATTAGAAATGGAAACATTAGCAAGAGTATTAACAAGAGTTGGAGATGAGAAATTGTTAGTTAGAAGACGATAGTTCATGTCATGTCAAGAGTTTTGGTAAACTGCCCAGCCTTTCAATAAATTATGCCTAAAAACTTTATCAAAAGACCCTCAAAGAGATTTTCTGAGGACTAATATTCTGATTCGATTTTTGAGCATTAATCTACCAAAGTAACTGCCCGTGTAGGTTACTTGTCCATATATTGAATATGGTACACAAAATTTAGATCACAGTATATAACAAAGATTATGTGTAAATGCAATTTCTCAAATCCAGATTTCTGACTATATGGACCACAATCACTGCTGCTGATTATAATTATTACTATTATAGTGTACTAATTTTAACAGCTCTATACGTATTTATAATTTGAAATCAAAATATAATAAATTTTCTTTTAGCAACTTCAGACATTTTTTTATTTTCATTTTAACTCACTCATAAACTTTGCTAAAGTAAATAAGATATAGTACTTACTTTGGAAAAAGAACTGCTACTTTTATCACATTCCAGATTGCAAAAAACACATTTGGTACAAAATGCTGGCACATTCTTTAGAGCATCAGGTAATTCAACCAAATTTAGATATCTAACCTCCTCAGTATTACCATAATCGATATAACAGATTGTACACTATTAAAAGAAAAATTAGAAAGTTATACAAGCAGTTTAAAAATATGAATAAAGCCAATTTCTCTATGATATTTTTTGTTTACATGCTAAAAATTAGTTAAAATTAATCCCAGGAAAAATAGCCTATTAAAACACAAAATTCACATTAATCTGGATAAAATGGACAATTACATTCATTTTCGACAGAGTTATAAAATAAACAAAAAATAATAAATAACCACTTACAAGGGTTAATAAATATTATTGACGAAATACAAAGTCAAATCTTAAACCCAAAATATTGATTAAACTAATATTAATAGCTAAGGCATTAATCAATTTATTGTGGCTCATTAAACTGCAAGTATAATGTGAAATTTCAAATGAAATAACTGAAATTATTTTAAATTCATTTTTTGAAATGAATTACTATATAATAACATCATCAACTCTCACTCTGTATAAAACAATAAGCTTAAAATATCACAATACATAATTTAGCAATGCAAGACAGAAAATTATAAAATGGCAAAAACAAAAATTAATGAATTTCTCCTTATCACATGCCAACTTTAATGTGTTTTCCAAATTGTATTAACATATTACTCACTAGTCCAACAAAATATTTTCATGTTAATCAACAGCAACAAGATTATTATTATTAATTCAGTTTCAGAATTCATTATTTTTTATATTTATTAACACAATAAAAATGTGGGCAACACCGTAATCAAAAGAATCTGAATATGTTCTCTCTGCATATTAAAAATCTGACAATGAAATCTGCCAATTCTGGAACTTCTGTGCTGCTTAAGATTTCTTTTGCAGTAAGCTTCAAGCGGTATTGTATGAGATTTCAATCAATAAAACAAATTCATCAATTCTGGAAATTTAATTTACTATAATTTCAGTTTTATCATTACTATAAGCATGTATTTGTTGCTTTTATTATATTGTGTGCTACTAAAAAAATTAGTTAAAACCGACGTAAACCAAATTGATCAACTAGATTAAAATTGCCATTTAACAGCTTTTTCTCTCCTCACAGCATCTGTATAAAATGCAATATTTTCATGAAGTTTCTGTCTAAAACATTTAAGTTAACATAGCAGAGATCTAAGATAAATTTAATGTAAATTCACTTTTCTTTGAAGCCCATCAACTTTCCTTCTTGATGTTCACAGCTTTTCAACAGTAAATTGGAAATTTCCTTTCAATTCATACTCACATTTGCAGCTTTCTTACTTAAATCTATAATTCTACATAGACCAAATATAGCAAAAATTCTTTCAGAAACTCACAACTGCATCACTAGGTTTTTGGCATTCATTTTTAAATGTTTATTAACAGCTTAAGTTCTTCTTAAGATATCATCTGCCTCATGGACAGGCCCGCGCCAAGCCTAATCGGCGCCGTCACAAATGCCTAGCAAGCACCTTTATGCAGTGATGATATAAAGGGACATTGCTTATGCTTAACATTTAAAATGAAACATTATTAGCATAATAATATGAAAACCCCAAAAAATTACATTTTATCTTTTAAATTGTCTAAATATGGAAACATTTTTTGCTTTGTTAAAATCCACACTCAAACATATTTATTGAAGAATTATACATATTTTTATGTTATAAAAAGCCACCTAACCTGTATAGTGGTTAGCGTTGCTGACTGCCATGCCGAAGGCCCCGGGTTCAAATCTTAGAGGAGGCATGGATGTTTGTAAATGTATTGTGTCCATGCGGCATGGGGGCACTCTAAACATGCGAGGCAAAAGTCCTCTTGAAAGGTCGGTGGTAGGGGAATAGGGGTGGGAGACACTCGGACCCGTCCCCCCATGATGGCCTCCATCAAAATTGGGGGTGAAACGGAGCTAAATCGCACTGTTATATGTAAGGTGGTCAAGGCTGTTGCCAACAACAGGAATATCTTGCACTCCTTGCCAAGAGAAATTTCATGGGCTTGAACTGACTATAGTCAGACAAGTGAGCATTAGTCAACAACATATTATGAAAACGCAACACTGCAAGCAAAGTGAAATAACACGCATTGGATACCAAACGCATTGGATACCAAATATATTGCTGAGCACTATTTATTATCTTAAAATTAAAAACAAATTAATTTAGATATCTACTAAGTTTGCACTGAATAAATTGTTGTTCGCAGGGTAGTTTACGACAAGGTTCAAATTGTAATTATAAGAGTATATAAAAAATGCTCTAGGGATATATATAAAATTCTTTTTTGCACATCGTTATGTTGTTGATAACGATGTAGCTTATAGAATTTCAACTGGGATGCTACATTTCCTCCAAAAGTTTGCAAAAACTGCAGTTCAAGCACAAGATCTATAGTATTTATATCGCTTTGATTTTTATCAGTTAATGCTTTTTGCAGTTTTTGGCGTAATTTGAGCCAATCTTGTAAATATATGTGAATGAATGTATTTGATGCTGATGCGTGTAAAGGTAGACGCCACTCCATAGACACGATTAACAAATTGCTTAGTCCTTATTTTGTGTCTACTGTTGCAATCGCAGTAATTTGTGCACCATTTATCTTTTTTGCGATTTTTTTTGTGTGTGTGTGTGTGTGTGATTGATTGTTGTTATTCTTATTCTACATAAAATGGGTAAGCGCAGTTACATATTATGTTAAACTTAGGTTAGCTTTTTAATTCATAAAAGCGATGATTTGAGCATAATTACTTGAAAAATGCTTTTGTACATGAACTATTTGTTTATTGAACTAAAAATTATTATCTTTCAAGAAGAAAGAATTAATATATTTACAGAGTGCCACTGAATTTAAAATATACCTATCTGAGATTTAAAGAAATAAAAAATATACAAGGTATTCTGAAATCAAAAATTGGCGATTTTCCAGTTTTTAGCTATATGGAAAAAAGAAGGAAAATGTTCTGTTATTTCATTACTTGCATACTTTAATTTTGATTTATTTAATTTAATAAACAAAAGAGTACTACCACCTCCTTGAATTATTTGATATTGATCTAATAGTTCATGTATTTTTTAAGCAATGGTTTAAGATATACTCAGTTTTTCAGAAATAAAGTAAAATATTTCAAACAGTGACTTTTCGAGAGTTCTTAAGAAGTGTTTTACGCAATAGTTCTTATAATAGTTATTTTCTACTTTTATTTTTACTTCCACTTTTTCTGCTTTCACTTTCCCCCAGATGTCAGAAGAAAAAAAGAAAAAACTGTATGAGGATCAGAATCCAATGAAGGAAAAGAAAGCGAGAGTAAGACTTAATAAACTAGAACTTTAAAATTACTCAGTTTTTCCAAAACACAGAGAATACACAAGCTGACGCTACTAGCACTAGTTGTCCATCAATGTCTCAGCTGCCATTGAAATTGGTAAAAGAAACTAATAATCAGAAAGTGTTTTCACCTGGGAATTACCTTTAACTTAAGCAGCCGGTCGAAAAACAGAAGAAATAATAGTGAAATCTACACTTTCTGCAGTATATACGCATTTTCCTGTGCCTGATGATTCCGGATTATGCTCAAGTCTATTATTGCCATCCCACATTCAAGCCTTAATAGAAAATGGTCCTGGAAATTCTGGTTTCGAGTTTCAGTTTCTCAAAAGACAAAAATGGGTGTAAATTTTTTTAGATGTACTTTTGTAGAATCTTACCAAACAACAAAAGGCTGCTAAATTCTGCTGGAAAAAAATTATTTTTTTTTCCCCCTCCAAAATTTTTAACAGTTTCAGTAACACAAAATTGAGTAGTTCTGAATTTGACGAATGGAACCACTTAAATGAGCACATAAATTTCATGAAAAAAAATAAAATGTATTTCCGGGATCTACATCTTTGGTCTGATTTCTTAGAACGATTACGAAAGAATAAACCTGTTGATTTGGAATTTCAAAATTTATTAAAAAAAAGAGACTAAGTATTGGCATTGTGTATTGAAAGAATTAGCTATGCCACTGAGTTTTTAGCCAAATAAAACTTAGCCTTCCTTGGTTCCAGTAACAAATTATTCGAAAGAAATAATAATTTTTTAAAGTGTACAACATGAGAGGCAAACAGTTTTCAAGTAATTATGTTCAAATCGTTGCTTTTCCAAATTCAAAAGTTAACGTAAGTTTAACATAATATGTAACTGCACTTACCTATTTTTTTACGTAAAAAGACAATAACAACAAGCAATAACAAAAAAGATAAATGTTGCACAAATTACTACTATTGCAACAGTAGATACAAAATAAGGATTAAGCAATTTGTCGAATGCGTCTACACTTACACATGCATCAGCATCACATACTTTCCCGTTCAAATAAGACAGAAGAGAACACCAGAGACAGACTCCTGCCCTGGTTATAACTCGGTCAAATAAGACAGTGTGCTAGGAGGAAGGCGCACTCAGATCTGGCAATCTCGAGGCTGCCTTAACAGTTAAATGCCCCAACCCCTAGAGGCGATCCAAGGGGCCGCTAACCTATCGATCAAGCCAACGAACTAAGCTAAGTCGACAGGAATACTCAGCTACTCACATTCAACGTCCCCATTATGGAGGGATGGTAAAAGCATCTGGCATCAACAGGACCCCAACCCCAGACAGCAGAACTAAGTCACTTAAACACTGTCAGACAGACAAGACCACCAATCCGGCCTGCTAACACTACATCATGGTATACAGATGTTGGCTTTAGGCGCCTTCAGGGAGAAAACCAAGGAAAGATTTGAATATGTAGTCTTAGTATGTAAGCTTCAGGTGCCCACTGGAAACCTCAAGCAGTTTAAAGGCTCGCTAAATTCACCAACTCTACCGACGGGGGTGTTTCATCCCGGACAACCATGAACATCTGACTATATAGCTCAACCACAACCAGCGGAACGGACGAGAACGCCATATGGTCCTTCTCGAGCCTGAAACAGCCATCGCTAGCGATGACTCCAGTCCTGCAGAGACTGATTTTAAACACCCGCGGCCGAGACTGCCTAGATACAGATCCTAATCAGCAGCTTCCCAGGTTTTACCTGAGTCGACCCCAAAGGGGCGTTCAAATTAGAAAAGAATTTTTCTGTTCAGACAAGCAGCGAGACGCACTGCTAGTTTTAATAACTGCCCGGCGCCTTTTTGACTCGCCGCCGTCATGCTCTGCACGACCTCGCACCTATTGTCGGCGCGGGCCAGCTCATGGAATTAGTCTTTTTCTCCTTATGGTCATCCTAGCAAATCACATTTTTTTATCCACAAAATCATTACTTTTCATTAAAATGAAATACAGTCATATTTATCATCACATAACAAAAAAGGGGACAAAACGTTCACAAAAGCAGCCTTTTTGATTGAAAAGACAAATCACAAATTTTAACCTACAAGCTATGACTACTTTACACTTTTACACGATGAGTAGATACTTTTTGTAAAAATTTTAAAATCTGTGATGGGACATAAGATTCTGACATATGAAATTTTACTAAAGACAAAATTTCATAAACCATGAAATTTTACTAAAGACAAAATTTCATAAACCACACAACAGACTTATGTTATGAACTTCACGAAAGAATGTTATGAACTTCACGAAAAATACTAATTAAAACAACAATTTTTTCTGGCAGAAGGATACATTTTCTTTCAGTGAAAAAAATCAATCTTAAATTTAATTTTTAAATCCTAGCCTTTATTTCCTAGTCTAGAGATTTAGATACAATATAAGACTTTTATATAGTTTGTAATTTGCTCGGTTTAATTTATAGATGTGTTTTTCTCTTTTAATTTGAATTCTTAGTCTTTTTTTTTTTTTTTTTAAACTTATAAATTTGCATTTAGGCATTTTTGCTTTATGATTCAGATTTTGCTTTGGAGATACAGAATAATATTTAATTTTATTATTATTTAAATTCAAGAAAAGACAATTTATTTCATATATTACCAATATCCCAATCTCGTATTAAAAAAAATATAGTAAGAAATAAATATAGATGCATTTTTATAACTTCTGGAACTTTTCAAAACATTTTTAAGTGCATAAATATTGCTTTTCATTTTAAACCCTTAACCTTCAACATACACTTTAATTAAAATACATAAATAGATGAAAAAATTGCTAAATACAGTACAAAGTCTTTAATCCGGACTCATCGGGGCTTCGGCAATTCCGGATTAGGGGTTTTTCCGGATTTTAAATCATCAATTTAAATCTGGTAAGATGGCATGCAGAAATTATAAAATTAAAAATATAAAACCGTAATTTATGAAATAAAGAGCAATTATCATCTAAAGGGTATCAAAATTTACAAAAAAAAGCTTAATATTTATTTTACTTTATTAAACATTTCTTTTAATGTAAGTTGTTTAAGTTGCTTCGTTTTATGTGCTAATACTTTCTCTTTAATTCTATAAACAGACACAATTTCTTGTTCATTTACAAAGTTCTGCTGTTCAAGTCCTGTAAATGCTGTGCCGAGAATACCGACTAACTTGTCAATCGAAATTTTTCTGTTTTCACTAACCTCTCTGTCACTTTCTTCATGCCTTTATCCATTTTTTGCAGCAATTCCACTTTTTGTTTGATGGACATCAAAACATGCTTTCGCTTTGTAGATCCTTTGGTAGCTCCAGAATCGGAAACTCTTTTTGACATAATCAAAAGTTCAAGCTTACTTTTTATAAAATTGCTCTTACAGTCTGCAAAAAATAATAAGCCGGATCCAGTTAGAAGATTAAGGAACAGTGCAATCTGCAACATTAGCTGAAATAGATAATTAGATAATTTTAGCCTAGCTTATACCATCCGTTATACATTAAGCACGAATGCATAAACATATTATGCGCAAGCATAAATGTATTATGCACATGCGTTAACACTACACATGCGCAGGAAGTTTGTAGGTTTGAGGTCTAGATTATACGTTATTCCTGATTATGGATGTCCGGATTAAAGATTTTGTACTGTATTTATTCATATATGGAGTACAGAATAGCAAGTTTCCAGCAAAATGTTAAAAATCTACCTACCATCCCAGTAGAAGTTACATTTTGAACTAAACAACGATACCATGAATTATCTTCACTGTATATAGCAGCATATACCTACAAGATAATAAAATGCTACATTAACAACAAAGGGAAACGTGATTTCATACTTTTCAAATAATACTGATTATGTACAATAATATTTAAGGTAAGGAATTAAGGACATTATGTTTCAAAATACACCGTAGTAACAAAAGTTTAAATAATGCATAAAATAAGACAACAATCATATTTAACAGAAAACTTCCCAAATTTGTATAATGAACCATAAAAAAATTTCAAAAATATTTGGTCAGTAATCCATGTTTTTCTCATCTTGTCTCACAGAACCACAGATCTTTCAGGGTGCTAACAGCAGCACTCTTGGTCACAAAAAACAGTGGGATGCCATTTTGCTCTTCAATGTGTCAAGATGATATTTACCGACTGAACACAGTGTGTATTTATTTAAAGACCATGGGATACTATGTCATTTGTCCAATATAAAGAACTACTATATTAAATCTTTGGAGACTGAAATTACATTTGCATAAAAGTTTATTCAAATTCAGAGGGTAATTTTGGAGATTTGATACATTTTATGTCTGTTGCCTAAATTTTGAACACCATGGTATTACTAATTTCACTTAAGTAATATCAAACTTACACAAAAAGGGAACATAGATAACAGAGAAAAATAGGTATTTTCTGATTTTAAGCAACCCAATTTAAAAGTCCTGAACTTATTGCCAACTTTAGAGAGTATTTGCGAATTCATTGACGACTTTGAAGAAAAACACTTACTTGGGTATCTATACATTTACTTCACTGATGCATTCAACAGCAGCCACTTTCTTCTTCAATGGCCAGACAGCCAAGAATAGGCCCCTGCCTTCCTCAGAATTGAATTCCAAGCTCTTCCATCCCTGTCCATGGACATCCAGTTGGTTATTTTTAAAATTCTTAAGTCTGTTTCCAAACAGTCGACCCACCTATGTTTAGGTCTCCCTCTTTTTCAGGTGCCGAATGGTCTGGCCGAGAAGATCTTTTTAGTTACTCGATTTTCATCCATTCTGCACAGGTGTCCCGCACATTTAATTCTCTGAATCCTTATATATTTTACTATATCTATTTCTTTAAAGGATTTACAGAGTTAAGAGTTAATTCTTCTTCTCCAGATATTTTTACAATTTATGCCACAAAAAATACTTCTCAAAATTTTTCTTTCAAAGACAGAAATGATACTTTTAGCTTTTTCTGTCATTGCTCAGGTCTCAGCAGAGTATGTAAGAATGGATCTGTTTAAGCTTTTGTAAATTAAAATCTTCGTTTTTCTGCTAGTGAAGTTAGACTTCAAGTATTTTTTTAGACCGAGAAAACATCAGTTAGCATATGTGACTCTACTACGGATCTTGGGCATTAAATCGAGTATTAACTTCTGATCCTAAATATTTAAATTTGCTAGTAGTTTCAAATTTGTAATTCCCAATTTCAAAATAGGGGCTGCTGTTATTATTGCATGGCATGTATTTAGTTTTATTTTGGTTGACTGCTAGAGGCATTTTGCTGGCTGCAGCCTCTAGAGATGTAAAAGCCTCTCTAACTGACTCGGGAGTGTGTGCGACTATGTCATTATCATCAGCAAACACAAAAATCTGAACAGACTTGTTAAAGATAGTTCCACAAGTATTAATGTTGGAGTCTTTTATGATTTTTTGGAGGGCAAGGTTAAAAAGCAAGCAGGCCAGTGCATCACCCTGTCTGAGCCCATTTGAAATAACAATAGGCTCAGAAAGATCATTCTGGATGTTAACCCTAAGTTTTGTCTCAGTAAGAGTAATGGTGACCAGGTATTAGTAAGTTTTTAAGTACTGCAAATTCTCTTATAGGCTTCAATTAAATATTCTCTATGTTACTGAATCGTAGGCAGTCTTAAAATCGACAAAAAGGTGGTGCGTTGTAATGCCATATTCATTAGTTTTTTCGAAAATTTGCCTCATGTTAAAGGATTTGTTCTGCTGTAGGTCTTCCTTTGCGGAAATCCACATTGGTAATCACCTACAATATTTTCCGTATATGTTACTAGTCTACTAAAAAGTATATTGGAAAATATTTTGTAGAAAACACAAAGGAGACTGATTCCCTTGTAGTTGGTGCATTCCAAAATGTCTCCTTTTTTGTGCACAGGACAGATGATGCTCAGTTTCCAATCTTCGGGTAAAACTTCTTGGTTCCAAACTGATGTGAAGTGGTGTATTTTCTTAATGTTTTGACCTGCAGCACTTTTAATAAGTTCTGAATCAACTGAGTCAGGGCCTTGTTATTGTTGAGCTTTTTAATTCCTTCTGTAACTTCTGCCAAAGATGGTGGCGGGATTCTATCGGTGTTTACAGAAGTAGTTGGTAGGTTGAAAACCCATACCGTGTATGGTCATTCAACAAAATACTAAAGTGCTCATTCCACCTGTTGAGTACCTCTTTTCTATCATTTAGGATGATGATGTTTTTGTCTCTACAAGGCAGTAGTTCTAGGCTTAGCACTTTCTTCATGCATTAAAAAAATAAAATATCTTCTAAGAAATCCTTCTGTAATTTCTTTTATGTTGTTCTTCCCACATACACAGATATCTGTTTTTTCTTTAAAAAGAATCAAAGCATTACACACCAGCCATGATTGTTTAAGTACAGTTGGAACTCTAACAAAACATTCCAACATAATAAAAAAGCTGATGTACACTACATGACTTTCTTGTACTGAATATTAAATTATAAGCATTTTTTCTTGCATTTCATTTACACTTATTGAATTGAATTAAATCTACTTCATCAATAGCACATAAACCACAATAAAATAAATGCATTTTTTTTAAATTCACTATATTTATTTACCATAGCGACACTCTATCGCTAGGTTTACTTAACAGCATTACATCTCAATCATCTTATAACTCAATGCACAAAAATTATATCTGAAAAATTATCTAATCGTTGCCACATGTTCTACTCAAATACTATAATAAACCTAAAGCCATGTATAAAAGAAATTAAATAAAAAAGAAACAGTTTTTCACAAACGATTCAGTGCCGCTTACCTAATGCGCATGCACTACTCGTAAACATTCTCCCCTGTCCGAGACAGATTGGCGACAATATTTGTTGCTAATACAAAACACTTATTTCCACAAATTTCATTAGAGATATATTTCTCATTCAATTAATTCAGTTCTCACAGTGCAGCAATGTAAAAATGCATAAAAACTCAAAATATTTTCATTAAAAATTGAAAGATATAGAAAAACATAAAACACCAAGCACAATTAAAACAATTAAAAAACAATTTTTACAATAAAATTACGTTTCTACACAAAAACAAGCAATTCGGCCAGCAGGCAAGAAGGTAATTTTTTTATGTATAAAACTGAAAGTTTCCTTTTGGTCCCATTCGGTAAAAGGACACTGAAGGTGCAGAATGAATTAATTAACTTTTCTGCTAAGTTTCGAATCTAAACAACTATGGCTGCTATGGTAAAAAAAAAAAAAAAAAAAAAAAAAAAATTAGGCTTAGCCACACTTAAACTACTTTAAAATTCATTTAGAAGTCAAACAACAAAAATCACCTTTATATTTTCAAACTTTTGAAGCCGCAGACTTTAATGACATTTGATAATATGAGAAAATTATTAGAAAAGAATTTTTTTATTGGAAAATCGTAGTGGAGCTGAAGACTGCAAATATAAAATTTTTGGAGTAACTGTCGATTAGATGTTATAGAGTTATGTGCAATGACAAAAAATTAATAGAACATAAGCTAAAAGAGAATACTTTGGAAATCAACCAAAATGTGATTGGTGATGTAGCATTAAATAATCGAATTCGTATGCATTAAGTCCTCTTACAAACATTATATGCGAGATTACAGAAATGGACAGAAAATAATTTATGCACTTATCAGTTCCAGTTCACAGCGAGCTTATTCAAGTAAGTATGTAGTAAGGGAAATGCAATACCAAAATATTAAGTCGGAAAATATTCATAATTCATTTGGTGACAAAGAACATTCTGAGAAACATTTTCACATATTTAATATTATTTAAATAGGTTTTTAAACAATCTAAATGGTGATTATCACTAGAGTTTTGAAGTCCTTGATCAGAAAGAAATTTGTAACGATCCCTATTCCAAAACTAGGATCATACTTTCTAAAACTGATATTATTAAGAGACAGAGGCTGATGTAATGAGTAAGCTCTTCAGCAGAAAAATTGTATATTTGTTGTGGGTTTGAACTAGTAGCTGCTAAAACACAACTGAGTAAACTTTAAAGGGAAGGATTCTCTATACAGACATTGATGGTAATACTATGACAATAATAACAAAT